CATTCTCGTGCAACATAAACCAAGCACAAGTTGCATGCATGAATTTTTCCGCTTGAACCTATAGTCTACATTTATTGTGCTATGGATCTAAGTCGTTGATGCACGTTGTTAGCCAAAACATAACCACACACCAATAATATGCAAAAAAAAACAATCTTCATATATTGGAAAAAAAAGGGAGATTCACATTGTGTCAATGCTAAACAATTAAACCATCTTGGAAAAAAAAGTTAATTGACACTAAGTTTGGAAAAATATAATCCTAAACCAGTGCACCCTCCGTCCAAAAAGATCAATTTCTGTCCAAATTCATGTGTGAAAGTTGGTTTGTTTTCGTATAGTGAGTAGGTTTTATAAAAAATTTTCAGAGAAGGTTTTTCAGAGAAGGTTTCAGAGAAGATTTTATAAAAATTGCTTCTAAAAATTGATAGGCTATCCATTTTTTTTCGAGATTTCTATATTGCCCAATTTTCTTTGAGATTCGCATGCTAACCGTGAAATCTCATAGTCATAGGGGCTTTCCCTGTTGCTGCTTGCCTTGTCAAACCAGAGAAAAACGAAGAGTGCCTAGATTATTATACGAAGCATTTAGGGCTCCACAAATGTAGGTGTTCTGCATAAGACTTTATCAAACCCCCCAAGTTTCATCTAATTTGCATATATTAGGATGGATTTGCATTGCACTCTTGTTCTGTTCGATGAATAATTATTGATGACATCTAAATATGCTATACTAACTATTGAAAATAGTTTGTATAACATCAGTTGCGTGGTTGTGTGTTAAGGTCAATGGTATTGTAAAGTTTGAGGGATGATGTCCAGTTTTAAAGATTGAGTTGTTATACGGAATTCCATCCAAAGTTCCGGAGATATATGGACTTTTTAAAAATAAATACAAAATAATGATTTGGAACCATTCTATAAATGGCTATGAGTAATACAGGTATCCTGTCAAATGTATGATTTTTTTCTTTTACTTTTCTAACTTTTTATTTCAAATTTTAGAAGCAAACCTTACAAAACGTTATTTTTCGAATTAAACATTTTAGCTACAAACAAATATTTTTTTAAGGGAAAGCTACAAACAAAGAGAGTTTTTATGGTGTTTACATTCTAAAATAGGTAAAAATCTAATGATCCACAATAAAAGTACCACTTAAAAGATATTTAAGTATGGATATATGTATTTAGGTAGTAAGGGCAAAAGGATTATTTTTTAGGAGATAGAGAAGGGCATAACTGTCTTCATTTTACTTCTAGGTACTTCATTTTACTTCTAGGTACACAAGTACCGCATCGGTACCACATCTCGAGTATGACCGATGATTCTCATTTCCGTTATTTACATGTTCTAAAAAGATTTACATTCCTAGCAACATGATCGTCGGTAATCCTGCATTACGAAATTTACGCGTTTTTTTTCTTAGATTTACATCTTCTTTCTAAGAATATGATCGTGATGTTTTTTAGGTTAATATTTTGTTTCTAATAACACAATTGGATAAAATATGACCGAATGTTTGTGTGGTTATTTTAAAATTTATATTTTATCACAAAGAACATATAACCTCGGTAAAAGATCATCGGTTTGTAGGTTCATATGTAATTCATCGTCGATAAGCTATATTTACATGTTTGTTCATCTTTTCATATTCTCCCCAATAAACATGAACCTAGATAATATAATTTCAAAGTACAGAGTCTTAAAAAAATCAAAGTACAAGATATGACCGTAAGTGAAGAAGGAAATTGATATGTTTTGTTGATCATGCAGCCATGTTGTTTTGGGCGAAAAAATGTGTCTTTTTTTTATTATTGTGTTGATTAGGGTGCAATCCTACAATTGAGGAAATTCTTTTAAGAATAATATGTTTTCTCTTTAATTCTATAGTAATCAACTGTGTTAATTAGTGGAATCCTGATCTTGTTCTCCCATCTCCGTTCCAAATATTTGAACTTGCCAGCTAATAACTTGTGTTACTCATGTTAAGCATGCTAGAAATTAGGGGCTAATTTGACCATCATCATTTCCAACTTAATCATCATGCATGTATGTACACATGCTAAATTTAGGGGCTAATTTGGCTGCCACGTACGCTACCTTATAAAGAATGAATGTCAACTTAATTATAAATTTGTGATACATGAAACAACACAAAAAATATATTCAAATATTAGAGGAAAAAGTACGAATTACCCCCCGAACTATCACGGTCGTCTGAATTACCCCCTGAACCACAAAACCGGACATTCTTCACCCCCAACTATGCAAACCGGACGAATTACCCCCTCAACCCAATCCGCGGTGATTTTGGTCTACGTGTCGTACGCGTGGCAGTCCAGTCAGCAATTTATTTATTAGAAAATAGGTGGGCCCCACCTATCATACACTTTTCCTCTCTCTCTTCTCTTCTCTCACTCTTCCCCTCTTTCTCTCTTCTCTCACTCTCTCACGAATCACAGCGGCAGGCGGGGCCGGTGAGCGGCGGCGGCGGCGGGGGATGAGGCGGCGGAGGAGGCAAGCGGCGGCAGGGGATGAGGCGGCGAGGTGCGGCGGAGGAGGCGAGCGCGGCGGAGGCGAGGCGAGGCGGTGGCGGCGGAGGAGGCGAGCAGCGGGGAATGAGGTGGCGGCGGCGAAGCGAGGCGAGGCGGCCAGCCCACGCACGAGCGCCCGTTCCTTGCCGTGCCCGCTGCCGCTCCCGCTGCACCCGCCGCCGCCGGTTCCCCTGCCTGCCCTGGAGGGCGCCGCCGCCGCTGCCCCCGTTCGATCTGGAGGGCGTCGTCATCGCCGCCACTTCCCCGCCCACCCTAGACGCCGCCGCCGCCCCCGCTTCCCCAACCCACCCTGGAAACCGCCGTCGCCGCTGCGGCTGCTTCCCCAGCCCACCCTGGACGCCGCCGTCGCCGCCGCCGCCGCCCCAGCCCTCCCTGACGCCACCGCTACCCCAAGCCACCCTGGACGCCGCCGTCGCCGCCGCAGCCGCTGCCCCAGCCCGCCCTGACGCCGCTGCTTCCCCCACCCGCCCTGGACGCCGCCGCCGCTTCCCCCTCCTTGTCTCACACCGCGCGCCGCCGTGCATCCTCCGCCACGAGAGAGAGACCGAGAGAGATTAGGAAGATAGAGATAGAGGGGGTATGACATGTGGGTCCCACCATTTAAAAAAATAAAATGCTGACTGGACTGCCACGTAGACCAAAACCACCGCGGATTTGATCGAGGGAGGTAATTCATCAGGTTTGCATAGTTGGAGGTGAAAAATGTCTGGTTTTGTGGTTCAGGGGGTAATTCGGACGACCGCGATAGTTCGAGAGGATAATTCGTACTTTTTCCAATATTAGAAAATGATAAAATTTATTTGGGAGATAAATTGTATGGGAAGACTTACATTTTCGACCAAATGATACAAAATGTATTGGAGGCAAAATGCCTGGGAAGATTTACAAATTTTTGAACCAAACATTACCGATCAATTTAGCTAGGTATTTGATTAACCCAAAATACCCTATTTTACTACTTAATTACTTCACTACCATCCACCATCGGTTACGATAACTTTTATTTCATACCTTGCCCCTCTTCATCAACAGTTCATATTATTCTATCTCTCAAGCTTTTAGTACAACACAAATACCGTAAAAGCTATCACAAACAAATGTTGCCGCCATGAAGTATTTACCACCAATGTTCACGTCGTGGTAACAACAGTAACTTGCTATTGCAAATCCTAACCACGCGTAAACTGTGTTCTCTAGCAAGGGTTCCCAACTCCCCACACTCGTTTTCCGCGCGCACGCTTTTTAAACGGCTAAACGGTGTGTTTTTTAAAAAAAGTTTCTATACAAAAGTTACTTAAAAAATCATATTAATCTATTTTTGAAAAAAATAGCAAATACTTAATTAATCACGTGCTAATCGCTGCTCCGTTTTTCATGCCGGGGAGCTCCCGAACGTATCCTAAGGATTTTCCATCTCAATAATATTGTATTGCAATGAAATTGGGGATCGCGTAACAATAGGTTTAGTTTCGTGTTTAGAACTACATTTAAAAGGTTTCGAAAAACAGAAGAAAAATGATCGACTACATGCACAGAATGTACCGGCCCATTTCATTTTGAGAGAAAACAGTTAATCGAACAGAAAACAACAAAGAATTATAAATACCAATATTTTCCAGGAAACTGCTCCCTAGCTTCTCTGCCTCTTCTCATGAAACCATCCAACCTGGCTATCAATTTCTTATCCACAACTCTCTAAAAGTCTGAAATTAATGCAAGCGAGTAGCCATCATCACATCGCCCGACGACTTGACCCGTTGACCAATAAGACACCTTGAAGCAGATCTGATCCATCCAATCCCGATCCAACGGCTGAAAATCAACTCACCAACGCTTTGAAGCAGCCAAGCTACTCAGGTGCTGTTTAGTTACCACGCAAAAACTACCCTGACACATACTCCCTCCGTCCAAAAAAACAAACCCTGGTTTCCGTGTCCAACGTCTGACCATTCGTTTTATTTAAAAAAATTATAAAAAAAATTAAAAAGACAAATCACGCATAAAATATTAATAATGTTTTATCATCTAACAACAATGAAAATACGAATTGTAAAAAAATTCATATAAAACGGACAGTTAAAGTTGGACATGAAAACCCAGGGTTTGCCTTTTTTTTGGACGGAGAGAGTAGAATGTTTGGACACATACATGAAGTAATAAATATAGAAAAAAACTGATTACATAGATTACGTGTAAATTACAATGCGAATCTTTTAAACCTAGTTGCTCCATGATTTGTCAATGTGGTGCTACAGTAAATATTTATTAATGATAGATTAATTAGGCTTAATAAATTCGCCTTGCAGTTTATAGACGGAATATGTAATTTGTTTTATTATTAGACTACGATTAATTTACGCTAAAACTTTTTACCCCTTAACTAAGCAGGGCCTCAGTTCAGTCACCAACTCACCATGTGTCCCCTTCTGAAATGTACCAAGATAAAATTCCAAAAAAAAACAAAGAAAAGAGAGAGAATAAACTGAGGCTGTGATGCATCTGACCAACCACGATTTGACAATCAGCAGCAGCAAGGCTCCAACAAATTGAGAAAAAAATTGCAAGAAATTTCGTTCGATTCATTGCCTACTTGAATTCAGAATTCCCAATTTGACAGTTACTGAGCTGAGCGTCAGTAGCTCTTCTTCTTCTTCCTCCTCCGACCAGCCAGCTAGCCGCCACTCCAAGATCCAAATCTCGCAGAGCTCAGCTCAGCCATGTGCTGCTGCTGCTGCGAGTGCGGGTGCTACGAGTGCTACGACGCGTGCTGCGACCGCTGCTGCTGCGGCTGCGTCTCCTACGACACCCGGGAGACCATCTTCTACTGCGCCGTCTGCCTCCTCCTCGTCGCCGCCGTCGTCCTCCTCGCCGTCCTCCTCGCCGCCTACGGCTTCATCCGCCACGTCTCCATCACCGTCGAGTCCGCGTCCCTCACGCGGTTCAACCTCTCCTCCCCGTCGGAGGCCACCGCTCTCGCCTACAACCTCTCGCTCACGCTCGCCGTCCGCAACAAGAACTGGGCCATGAGCATCAAGAACACCAAGGACCTGGAGGCCGGGTACAGCTTCGACGGGCAGCGGTTCGAGCGCGTCAAGCTCGCCGGCGAGGGGGAGAAGCACCCGGCGGGGAAGACGCGGGTGTACCACCTCGACTCCAGCAGCGACAACGCATACGCGGCGCTCGGGAACGCCGGCGTCGCCGAGTTCAAGAAGGAGAACGCGACGGGGGTGTTCGAGGTGGAGGTGGCGGTCACCGGCGAGGTCAGGTACCAGGCGCACTACACCAAGTGCAAGCTCGCCGCGACGTGCCCGCTCAAGCTGCAGCTCGCGCCGCCGGGCACGCCGGCGGTGGTGTTCCAGAAGGTCAAGTGCAAGCTCGCCGCCGCCGACAAGAACTGCTAGCGCGTCGCCATGGCTGTGCCTAAGCTTTGCTAGTGATTATTTATGCGATTGGTTTGTTTGTTCCTCTGGTTCAGTTTGTGATTCAATTCCTCTCGGGATTTGTGGTGGATTTGAAGGAATTGCACTATTGCGGTGTTTGATTCAATTCAATTCAATTCTCTGATGATTGTGGAAGGGGAATTTCTCCTCTTTTATTTTCTCTGCTGCTTTTCATTTGCACTTTTTATTCTGGAAAGTGAACCAGATTCGCTTTAGCACTCCCTTTTGTTTAGGATTTTTGGGCTCTTTTATGCTTCCCCTTTTATCCGTAAGTACTGGAGTAGGTTGGTAAATCCAATGCAATGAGGCCTATTCCTTTTAAAGGAACTAGGAAGGTAGCCCGCGCATTCGTGCGGGCATGTATTATAGTGTGTGTTTCAAACGCTCTAACGAAACGCTATAACGACAGGATATGAACCGGAGAACATTTGTGGAATATAAATCGGAAAGGAAATTCACACATATGCACAGGCATCTTATTTGTTATTAAAAAAATAATGCTAAAAGGAATCATATATACAGAGAGAGACACACACTGTAAGAGAATTTAGATTACTCTACAATAAGAAAAAAAAGAAATATATTTACCATAAAATAGACGGTAGATTTTAATATACTTCTAACGTGATAAGAATATCTCTTAGATTTAAATAAAAATACCTTTGTCCTGGTCATATATAAACTTGTAGTTTGTCATCACTACTTACTATCATTGTTTTAAGAGTTAGGTCAACTTTTAATAAATGAAACTGTATTAGTACCACTAAAACAAATAATACATTATCAATACACTAAAAAATTCATCTACCTGCATAACCCGGTGTTCATCACTTATTTTCGCATCTTGATATAAATAAATAGTCTAAATATACCATATCTACCGAATAATACGATAACTCTGTTTAAAATAAACATGAATGCATCTCTAATGGATGAAGTCGACTGTATCTGCGAACGAAGGCTTTTGTATGTAATGCCTTGAAACATATAGGTTCCGCATCGATGTAGCCATACCCCTAAAAACCATCATAGAGTACAATTTTAACACTTAGTTTACTATCAGTATGTCACTTTAGTTACACTGCCTATGGTGTCCTTTCACGGACACCACCTTAACTCAACCATGTACATACCCATGCAATATTTACGATGGCATAGCAAGTACTGCACCCTGCATTCAAGCATAGAGGGACAGAAAGGAGGAGGTGATGAAAATGCATTTTTTTCATATGAAGTTAGTAATAAGTACTTCTCAAATTTTAATGGAATACATACAATATTATGTATTTCAAATGAGTGGGGTTAATCATTTGACACTACTTAATAAAAACTATAGCTAAAGAGACATACCACCATGAGAATATGCAAAACACCATATCATTATTTATATTTTGATAAAGATTTATACTTTAGCGCTAAATTTGTTTCCACCATATGTTGTAAGCAACCATACGAGACTCATTTACTAATACTAAGAATGTACTTATTTTCACAAACTTATTTACATTAAATAATTTGCTAGAGTGCACTTACAGTTGGGTTACGTGGTGTATAACATTTATCCATCAATTATACCCGGTATATTAGAATCTCTATCAACTATAAAAAATATAACATAAGTAGTTTTATGCGTATTTTATTGGATTATTCATATTTTTCTAATACTACTTGGCAAAGAAAATACATAATTCTTGTGATGAATTAAGGGTTGTATTGTAGCAAATTATCTATCTATCATGTATGCTTCTCACTCCTCAAAGAGCAATAAAAAAGTTTTGAAAAATTTCAGATACTTTTAGAATCTCAATCTCACCCAAAATAAACTTAAAAAGATCTACTTAAAAATCACATCTAAATTATGTTGTTTTATTATCACTTGCTAAAATTTAATTTAATGTTTCTCATCAATCTATTAATTATGCTTCTCACAGCTCAAATAAGAAAAGTTTTGAAAAAATTCCAAATACTTTGAGAATCTCAATCTCTCCAAAATTAAATAAACCTAAATAGATGTACTTAAAAAAATGCTAGGTTTTGTTATTTTACATATGTAGATTCAAGTTAACGCTTTATATTTGTGATATTTGACACCATAAAATATGATATGAAATTATTTGAAACATTATTATTGCATTTGCTATTACATGCTGGTGTCATTTGTCATGATATATTTATCACTACAATAAGTTTATGATTAAATTTAACTGTGTAGTATTATTTTAATAAAATCATAGATTAAAGGCTGTTGACAACAAATCAGTGCCGGCACTGATGATTTTTCCTTTGTTAGTATTTCTTTCTGATTCTAGTGCATGTTTTCTTTTTTATTTTTTTTGGCTTTAACTGTTTTTTCAATCGTATATAATGCAGGTATTTAAGTTTTGTTTTTCTAGGAGGGAGACGATCGTACGACATAAGCACTTTATGTTTTTTTTCCCGGGATAGAGATTAGCGGCATGGGAATTTTAAGAGCTCTAATCTAATGTTTAAAATAACGGGTCTACTAATTTAAGTGAAAAATATAAGGTTGGATGCTTTTCTTTTTTTACTCTAAATATTTTGGATTTCTCTAATTTTATTAGAGTGCCACGTGACAATGTAGGATCGTTTGCAGGTATATAATAGACTTTTAGTATATAAAAGATTTCAATGATTTCTCTAATTTATTTGAGAGCCACATAGCGATGTAAAAGCGTTTGTACAAAGTTTAATGTACTTTTAGTATATAATAGATTGATTTAGAAGCTGGTTTAAAGGAACATTGATTAAATATTTATTATAGATCTTAGTTTAACTAAACTATTGATATTTTTGAAGTAATATATTTTATCTTTATATTGTAGAAAATCATATTTTAAAAAGACCGTTGATTTTTATGAATGCATATATAAATTCTCTGTCTTTTTTATGTATACATGTGTATTTGTTTTCTTCCAGCGAAGATTAGGAAATTTTATCGTTTGTTTTCACAATCATGTACGTTTGTATACATACGGGAAGAACAGCAGTAGTATTTGTATCGTACAAAATCATACATACAGACAGCGCTCGTATGTTATAAACAATGCAATAGTAATTATTTTTTAATAATAGATCTGATCTAATGGCCTACAATAACGGGTCCACCAATTTAAGTGAAAATCGACGGTGAGATTAGATTGTGCCATGTGGCGACTTAGGAGAGTTTGTAGGAGTGCCACGTGGTGGCTTAAGAGCGTTTGTAGGAAGTTTAATGGACTTTTAGTATATAATAGATAGATAGATAGATTTTAGCACATAGAAATAAAAAATGGAGAAAAAAATTATATGCACACTTCAATCATAAGAATTTTTTCAAGGGATTTGAGTGAATAAAAAATTTATATCTCTCTACAACTTGTAGGAAAGGAAAATTCATTTGGTTTTCATGTATCTACATTTTTATGAACCGATTGGCATTCATAGGAATTAATTATTAGGAATCCAAATTCTTTGAAATCCCTCCAAAACGAATAGGCCCTAAAGTCGGGAGATGGATTATAATAGCCTGAGTAGATGTCCACCCGTTTATTGCATGTCAACTAGATAGTTACGGATAATTTTCAAAAACATTGATAAGATAGATCAATATGTAATATATCACTCCACAAACATGCAAGTTAAAATTCACTTCTACAAGTTGTAACAAAAATAACAAATTTAATTGTAAATATACCTATAGTAATTTAAGTTTTGTTTGTTATTTTGTAACAGCTTGTAGAAGTTGAATTTTAACTTTCATGTTTGTGGATTGATATATTACATATTGATCTATCTTATTCATATTTAAAAAAAAAATTATAACCATTTAGATGATATGTACTAAACGGTGGACGTCCACTCGAGCTGTTAAAACAGTTTCCACTAAAGTCGAACCGAACCTATCTTAACATAATATTTTAAAACATATATTCTCAACTCATTTCCCTTTACCTGAACTATCTTTCCTTAAAAAAAACAACAACATTGTTACGTTGGCCGTGATAGTGTGACTGAAGGGACGAATGCAATTTTCAATGAGAAGATTTTTAATGCCCTTCATGTGGTGGTTGTGATACCACCGGATACTGTTACTGAGGTATCAACTAAAACCCAACCTTTTAATATATAGGGGTATGATGGGGAACAACTTGAAAGAGCGGAAAGCATCGGAGAGCTTGGACAGGGCCGTCTTGGGCCCTAGGCCGGTTGTGTGACAGCCTAGGGCCCAAGCCGGTACAGGACCCATCACCAACCAACCCAACTAGCAGGATGTCATTGTCCGTCCTCAGGTCTGACTTCCATGTAATCACACCTTATTTCATCGTGGCTAGGGTTTAGAGTGAAGTCTTGTGATCTTCTTATATTTTTATTTGCATCTATTTAGTTTGAAAATTGGGCTAGAATTTTATCTTGTTCTCATTGATTAATTTACATAATAATTTTAGGTGTTTATAATGTTTAGTCGCATCATTTTCAATGATATATGATTTATAAAAGTATATATTATAAATAAAAGTATATTTCATTTTGAGGTCCTATATTACGAAGTTCACCTAGGGCCCTGGCTTGGGGAGGGACCGCGCAACAAGAGTAGGTCGCTAGCGAGTATGGGGAAAGGGCTGCGCGGGAGGCGGAGTTTACCGGCAAGCTCGAATCCACCTAGACCACCATGTGAGAAGAAAAATAGACCGCCAGGATCAATCAAACCCATCTTCTCATGCATGGGGAAAGGAAAAGCAAATCCGCCTGGATCAATCTCTAGCACCATAGACGATGGACCAAAGCTTTTTTTTTCTTTTTCCTTTTGGCATTCATTGCTTGGACAAATCAGGCCTCCACCATGTGAGGGGAGAAAAAAAATACTAGGATGCCGGGGAGTCAAACTTGTGACCTCGGATGGGGAGAGGAAGGGTGGAGGCGTCAGGGAGGCGGCGGCAGCTAGCAAAGAGGGAGGCTGAGTTCGCTGACTAGCTTGGCTCTGGTCGACGACCTTGGAAGGAATGGGTCACGCCGCCTCCGTGGAGGATGGATGCGGAGGCTGCCTTTGGGGCCGGCAATCGGGAGGGACCAGAGAGAGACTCGGCGCGAACGAATGTGCGATGCGAAAAAAGTGAGTTTTGCCATTCCATTTGCTCAACACATGCTGACGAACAGGATCTA